AAGATGTTTTCAGGATATCAGCTGTGAAAATCATGCATTCACAAGAATTGAAGCTGCCTGACAATCCCTGGAGGTAAGCACGTCTGCTTTTTGAAGCATGAGTAGGAACAGTGATGAAAAATGTGGGCATTTGTGTACCAAGCAAATGCAACTCTGCTGAAAAATTTATCCAGTCTCCAGGTTGATTCTGATAACAGTGTAGCATGAAAATAATAGTGGAAGCATTCATAACAAGTATTAATAAAAGAATAAATCAAGATACTGAATATTTAGGATATTGACAGAATTGAGAGTCATGCAAGAAGACAAGACCAACTTTTATCCAAAGTTACAAGTCTTGCAGTGCAAAATGGAATTTCTTAATGCCAGCTCCGTAACAGCTCCATAACTTTAATTTGCTAATTTAATTTAATTTAATTTAAAAAAAAAAAAAAGTAAAAAAAAAAAAAAGTAAGAAAAAATAAAGTATATTATTCTCCAGTAACTTTATGCTAGAAATTTTTTAAAATGTTTTTATGTGGAAAATAATAAATAATTACTATTACTTTAGCAGCAAATATACTTTTGTCATTATTATTTCCTAATTATAACAAAAGAAAAGCATTAGTTATGAGAAAGATAGATGTGAATATATATGGTATAGAAATATCTCTGCATGATAGCATAGGACAAAACTGTGTCTCTCTTGTGAGAGCTGGCTGCTCTGTAATCAATCACTTGTGAAAAATATGGGGTTGGAAGGAATGGAATACTTTTAGTAATTTTCATCTTTGTGAAATATATGGTTTGGACCATGAAGCTGTACATGCAGGAGGCCAAACAGCTGGAAAGTGGTGGCAGAAAAAGACCTGATGTGTTCTTGTGGCAGAAAAAGACCAGCAGTGCGGTCAGAGAGACGATGTAACTCCTGGCAAGGTCACCTGATGTGCTCTTCTTCATTGACTCTTCTTTGTCTTCTCTTCTTCATCTCCCTGCTGCTCAACTGGACTGCGCATCTCACCTCAGCTTTATGGTGAGGCCTATCCACCTTTCAGACATTCTCTCTCGTTATATTTGACTTATTAGCTTCAATTCTGATTATATTGTATTATGGTGTGTTATCTTGCATTCCGATACTATATTTAGTAAATTAGTTTGTTTCTCCTCAGATTATTGCTGCTGTTTTTAATTATTTTGGGGTCCCCTGTTCCTTTTTTCCAGAGGCGCAGATTTTGCGAAATCCCTCTGCCCCTCTAGTCATGGAACTAGGCTGCACCAGCCCGTAAACTGTCGACAAACTGGAGCCAGAAAGCAGGCTGGTATCTTTTAGATTTGAGTATGAAAGATTATTTAGTCTTTAATTTAATTCAGCAAAATGGATTTTTATTTTTATTACAGAAACTTAACATATGCATAGCTCTTAAAACATCCACAGAATTGAGGAAGACTATGGCCAATGGCATATGTAAAAACAGGACTTCTCCATGACTTATTCTATATGAGAGTGTCCGGAGGTAGGTGGGGTGTCATAACACAAGTCTTATAAGGAGTGGCTGAGGGAGCTGAGATTGGAGAAGAGGAGGCTCAGGGGAGACCTTATCACTGCCTATAACTACACGAAAAGAGGTTGTGTTGAGGTGGGAGTCAGCCTCTTCTCCTTAGTATCTAGTGATAGGACTAGAGGGCATGACCTCAAGTTGTGACAGGGGAGGTTCAGGTTGGTTGTTAGAAAAAAGTTATTTTCTAAAAGAGTGGGCAGGTGCTGGAATGTACTGCCCAGGGAGGTGGTTGAGTCACAATCCCTGGAGATGTTCAAGAAATGTTTAGATGTTGTACTAAGGGGCATGGTTTAGAGGGGAAATACTGGTGCTACGTGGATGGTTGTACTGCTAATTGTAGTGTATGTATCTTTCCCTCACAGCCTAGTGGATAGTCCAAAGGTTTCACAGAATCACAGAATCATGGAATTGCAGGGGTTGGATCTTAAAAGATCATTGAGTCCAACACTCCTCCTAAAGCAGGTACCCTACAAAAAAAAAAAATAGTTGCACAGGTAGGCATCCAGACAGATCTTGAATATCTCCATAGGAGACTCCACAACTTCTGTGGGCAAACTATTCCAGAGCTCCATTATGCATAGAAGTTCTTTCACGTGTTAGTAAGGAACTTCCTACAGTCAAATCTTAGGCCATAACTCCCTGTCCTATCACTACATACCACCAAGAAGAGCCTGACCTCATCCATTTGCCTCCCACCTTCCTTTAGATATTTCTTTATCTGTTACATTTCTGTTATAACTTACATTTCTGGTAAAAAAAAAAAAAATGTTGGATTTAGTTATTAATTTCCACTTGCACATCAACAAACACACACACACACAAAAAAAAAAAAAAAAAAAAAGATAATCTCAAATAAATTTCAGGTCTGTAGTTCTACAGTAGAAGTGGAGTCCCTTCAGGATTTACAAGAAATAAGCAGAAAACCACATTCTGTGTACTAGAATTGAAATACAAAAGAAGTATAAGTACAGAAGAAAGAATTTAATGTTTTATGTAAGTAAAATGATATAAATCTTTGTGAGAAGGTACATGGAATTTTTAATAGATTTTTACCTGAGCAGCTCTGAATATTTTAGTTTGCAGGGCCTAAAAGGATTTGAAGTGGTTTGGAAAAAACATCCGAAGTTGGTTCTTTATGTAAATTTCCAACTGGAAAAAATATAAAGTAGTGACAGTATTGTTTGTCAACGTCCTATAGTAATTGTTAGCAATGCATTCTTGCACATATTGTTTCAGACAAAAAATTAGTATTTTGCATTAGCAGAGGATAATTAGGCAATAAGATACAAAAGAGAGTAGGGTTATCATGAGATAAATACACACATGGGGTATTATGAGGCACAGCCAAGTATCTGCAAATCCCTCTAGGGTATGATTATCTCGTGATAACCGTACACCCTGGAGTTGCCTTATTGCTGTTATAAAATATATTTATTATAGGAAAAAATGCACATTTTTGTGCTGAAAGAAGATGGAGGTGGCTATTTAGAATGCTGAACAGCTGAGCTGTGTGGTTTACATAGATTAATCTATCCCATTGGAATGTTTCCTCAGCCAAAAAATGTTACCTAAATCCAAGCAGTCATAATCTGTAGTGATGTGCGGCTATTCGGAGTATTTGAGAAATTCCCTCCTTGGTTCTTATGCTGTTCATTTGACTGCAAGGTATGCACATAAAAATATGAGGACATGGAGAAGAGTTAACAGGATGCTGAGCATTTTGAATGTTTGGTAATATTTCCAATGTCTGGATTCTTCCATTTCACTTTTATGCAAACTCTATATAAACAATTGAAAGCTTCAGAGAGTTACAAATGCTTCCTAAACTAATTGAAAACTATTGGGAGAGAGAAGTTACAAACTACAAACAATGTCAACAGAGCTTTAAAAGCTGGTAAACTGATGAGCCAGAGAGATACAAGGAGATTTTTCCAAGCAACATAGTGATTTTCCTACCAGGTATAGAGATGATGTAGCAAGGTGTAAAGGAGATGGATAAACAGAGACTGGCTTCTTTGTACAAAACTGAAGTTTTGCCACCATCTTCAGAAGACAAAGGTTTCTATAAGAAAATACTTAGCATCAGTCCTACACTTACATACATAATAGACTAGTCCACGTAAATAGCCTCTCTGAGTCTTATTGCCTATTTTTGTAGACACAAGTTGGCAATTAAAATAATGAATTAAAATAACTTTGTTTGCTTGGTTGCAACTTGGTAGATGCAAAAATCATGTCTCTGAAAAACATTTGTAGAAGCTCTTATAGTTTTAGATATTTCATCAACAATTATGCTTAAATATTTATTTTATACTATCTATTATTAATGAAAAACATTATCATAGAGTTATAGAGTGATTTGGATTGGAAAGAAATAACCATGCTCTAGTGTACAGTACCAGTCTCCCTGACATGGGCAGGGACACCTTCCATCAGACCAGATTGCTCAAAGCCCCATCCAACCAGTCCTTGGTCACTTTCAGAGATGGGGCATCTACAGATTCTCTGGACAACCTATTCCAGTGCCTCACTATTTTGTCCTCCTATCAAATTGAAATCTACCCTCCTTTAGTATGAGGCCATTACCCCTTGTTCTTCACTCCCTGATAAAGAGTTTCTCTTCAACTTTTTCATAGTCTCCCTTTAGGTGCTAGACGGGTATATTATCATATTTCAGTGCAACAGTAGGAAATTGTTTCTTTAAGTTTGTAATATTATTGAACAAATATTAAGAAGAAATAAACATTGAAGTAGCTTACAAATTGTGTGTTAAAATGTAATCAATATTTGTATTAATGTTTGGGCATAAAAACACAGAAAGAAAGCCTTGCAGAATTTATTTCTGCTTAGAATCTTGTACCACAGCCTTCAAAATTGTCAGCTTTAATTTAAGATTGGTGTTTAATATAGAATATGGAGATCAATGCAATTGGTATGATTGAATAAAAAAGTCCTTGTAAGGATATATGATGCACATTTTTAAATGCAACAAGTTCAATAATTGGTTTAAATGTAAAAATAAATTGTGTCTAGAGATATCTATCCCAGCCTGGGGTGATGCTTTATTGGTTTTTGCATTTCACTAACTGATGTGCTTTCATGTAAAATCAATATTATTCAGTCAAATATATTTTGCTTTGTTGTAAAGTAAGCTCAGTTAGTCAAAATAAAATATTAAATATAGGATACCTAACCTTTATTTTAAAGTAAACCTTTTGTGAGGAACGGAAGGTAAATTTTGAAAAAAGACACTTTTAGCTTCCTAAATGTTCTATAGAGACCCTTGGATAATGTATAGATTTTTCATGTGCTTCTCTAGCATTTTAGTTTGCTAACTCTCTGCCTTTTAATTAAGTCCCTAGCCATTCCTCTGAAGGTAATTGCCATCTGTGGAATATTAGACACCGTTTCAAGTGAGGCATATATACCTGCTTAGCAGAGCTGAGTAAAAAGAGATATCACACTTTCTAATTGTACAAAAGCTATTTGCCTTCTTTTTAACCTATTTTGAAGAGAAAACGTTGTGGGTTTTTTTCCATGTAGACAATTTCAGCACTTAAAATACAATTTTGGCACTTTAAATACAATTGAAAATTGAAAAAGTTTTAGAAAAAATCCTGAAGTCTTACTTTTTTTTTTTTTTAATTATGATGTCTGCCTCACAAATGGGAAAAGCCAAGGAACAGATCAGAAAGGGAATTTCCCATACCTTACTCAATCTCACTTTAAAAGTTACCTAAATGATCAGAAAAACCCACTGCCACCACAGAAGTGTTGTAGTAGGTGACAACACAGAAGATCTCAGCAGAGATAGAATACTGGACAAAAGAATTCTAATACAGCTAATCAATTCAACAGGATACAATGAATATAATTATTTTTAAAATGTCCATGAACAACTTTCAGGTTTTTAAATTTTGTTCCTCATTCATCATTGACTAGACTATTTGAAAAAAACATTTCTGTTTTCTAAAATCCAAATTACAGTCCTCCCTTTTTCTTATGGCAGAATGACGAGTACACAAATAGGGTGTGTTTTTAGCCTCAGTATCTCTAAGTTGTCTTGAGGAAGTAGGTACAATTTTCTGGTCTGCTTTGCAAAGCTGTAATTATTGGAGCAATCCACATTTTCATGTAAAAATAATAAAAAAGTATTTTCTGTGCTATAAAGTTTTCATATAGAAAATTGATATTTCAGAATATTTCTTCCAACCCTACAATTCTGAAACACTCAAAAGGTTAAAAAAAAAAAAAAAAAAAAAAAAAAGAGTAATTGACAAAGGAAGTGAATGTACATACTGCTTATTGAATTCAGCGGAGCAGAGAATTTTTTCTGGGCTAGTGATTTCATAGACCAGTTTTACACTTTTTAGTCATGCTTTAAAACAATTGAGCACATGCCATAAACATCGAGTCACTAGAAAATGAAGGGTGGTGAACCATTCACAACCTAACTGAACTAATATGTCAGAATATTATAGCTTCAGAATGTGTGAAGTGAATCCTAAACCTGCTGCAAGACATTTTGATCAAACAGTTTTTGAAAGATATATTTGCATAAAATTATACATTTACAGTTATACAAAATTACCAGAATGTAAAATGGTGGTCTTACAAAGACTTTGCTAAAGGAGGAATTAGACTTTAATCCATTTAAATCAAACCTTTGGCAGTTATTTAGGACTACTGGGATAGGGATGCCTTAGATGGCTACTCATGCAATTGAATATGGTTGAGATGTTAAATGCCTGTTATTGTCGTCGTACTCAAGATAATATTTTCACTTTTGTCTTGGCTATCAAGTAACAAACAGAGCCTAGGTAGAAAGTCTAGACTGATGAAGACAATGGTAACGAGAGAGAAAAATATTTGAATAGATGCCTTGAGAAAAAGAAAGCATTGCAAATTACAAGACTTTCTCTTAAAAATAACCTTTTCAAAAGTTTTACAGAATAGTATTCAAAGAGAAGAATTACCCAGAGAACTAATACTCCTGGAACAATTTCTTAGAACTAGAAAGGCAATGAAATTTGTAAGACTCTGTAGAAAAGCTAATCAGGAGGAGGAAAAATAATAGAATAATGAACCAGTAAGGGAAATTTAAGAGTCAGATTTTTATTTTTTTTTTTAAATTCAACTGATTTCTCTTTATTAGAAGTCAACTAAGTTACACTTTTATACGTCTATTGTAATGTCGTCTTATTGAAGAGGAAGGGTTAAAGCAAATTTCAGGTGAGGTGCACATGGCATATTTTTCCGTATATTAATGTCATAATTATAAAGGTACAAAAAACCCTTCCAGCTGAAGCTCTGTTGAGATTGTTTAACTACCATACCCAGACAGAGCACATTCCAATGGGAAAAGAATGACACAGAATGGAGCATCTCTTGCTCTTGCACATGGCATCAGCTGCTGGTGCCAGCAACTCCAGAGACAACAGCTCAGGAAACACAGAATCTATTACACGAATCGTATTCATGCTCTTCCACAGATCAACAGCATTTTTAACAATGACCTACTAGATAAGTATTTTCAAAATTGTGTTTATTGAGTTAGAAGTCAGCTGAAGGGCAAGCAGTAGGAATAGCTCATACTTAATGTGTTACAAACTATGTTGGTGAATTAGTTTCCAAGAGTCCAACTGAGTTTTGTAGTTTGAAAAAAAAAATTTAAATGTTTCTTTTTCACCACCAAGGATGAATCTAGAGTAGTATCGATAACTGAAGATATCATGGCAGCAAACCTCTGCATGCACAGCAGCTTCCACCAAATGTAGCTCTGTTTTCTTATTCATGCAGCTGTTGGTGTTAGGGAAGAGAGATTTTTCAGTTTCTTTTAGGTACAGCAGGTACTTATTCTTCTTTATGCAAGAGATAACGTCAAGTAAAAAAAGTCTTAATTCAAATCAGAAGTATCTAGAAAAGTTGCTGACATATGTATGTGTGAAGGAAGAAGAATTCCAATTATATTTAAAATTTATTTGAGACATACTTGTATGGATGGCTCTCAGTTTTATCAGGACTTTTTCCATTTTTGTTCAGATATTAAAACTAGAAACCTCCAAAGTCACTGAGTGGAGTGCTTCACTCCTCCAGGGACTAAATTATCAAGATCCCTTCAGAACTACAATGAACTTCCTAGTAGCCATTAGTCTCCCACATTCTGCCAAAGGAAGACAGCTTCAGAACTTCCCTGTTCTCTTCTGTTTTTTAGTTTGAATGGATTTTGACATCAGCATTTGTTCTTCAAATGCTTTGTCTCTTTGAATTGTTCCTTTTTCCTCATTGGTATGTATACCCTGATACGTTTGTTGTCAGCAGTTTGTAGTCTCAGCCTCAAAAGTCATTCTCAAGAGTGCTCTCAGAGGATAGATTTTCCATTTTCCTGATGATCTTTGCATCTTGTTTGATTTGTCATATAGCTTACAAAGTAGAATTATTACAATTATTTGATCATTTTGTTGAAGAGAGAGAATAAAAGCAGAAAAAAGTACTTTGTGATAGGTGAGACTGAAATACTCTGATTTCCAGAAATCCGATACCCAAAAATGTATGCTGCATGTCACAAAGAACTGATCAGATATCCAATAATTCAGGAATAATTCTGAACAAATTTATTTCATTTGTTTATACTAAGGAGTTTTTGTGATGTAAATGTAAGATATTGGTTAATTTTCACAACAACTATCATTGTCTATCCCCACTACTTTCTTCTCCCTTTTAATAATAGGAAAAAACAAAATGAAACAAAAAAAGCAGGCAACGACAAATGGGGCTTGAATAATATGACTGAAATATTTTTTCTTGATTTTCATATATTTTTCTATTTTGATATGCTAAGTATAGCTATCCATTAAATTTGTAGAATTCAAGAACTGGGTATCTTTCATAAAAGAAATGTTCAAGTCCGACTAATTGATTCAGCTAGTTAAGTGGAGTTGAGTGAACTAACTATTGCTTTGATGGGGATTCTAGAAAAGTTTCATTTCCTTCTTGTTGGCTACTCAGAAAAAAAGGCCCTTGTACCTTCAGGCATTAGTGGAAATGTTTCTAAGATACTTAAGAAAGGCATAATATTTTGTAAGTGAAATTTTAAAGTCACAAAGAACAATTTTCATGTTCAGTCTGAACAGTTCCTAAAGTAATGATTTTTCCTAATACGTATTAGAAGAAAATATTTCTATGGTCTTCAATGCATTTATTGCAGTTTTTTTAGTTGAAACTAGAGAAAGACAGCATTAATTTGCAGTACTGTACAATTATAATTAACAGTTACTAGAAAACTCATTCTAAACAAGACGATAGGTTACAGTTCTTCTAGCATATTGGTAAAGGAGTTTATATGGGAACGTTTTCTAATCACTACATTATTTTATATTTTATTTATGTGATTTTCAACAGTCACCATCTGTTTCTGAGTTGTGTATTCAGTATTCAAAACTGATCATTTCAACCAACTTTTTGTATATCACATTAATATCCCAATTAATATGTATAATTGATAATGTTAGTAAACAAATGGCATAGGTGACTGGAATCAAAATAGAATTGGCTTCAATGCATTATACACTATACTTTTTGTTTATTTAGAATATCTATGTTACATGCATATATATTTTTTTCCAAAGAATAAATAGTACAGAAACGCACAAGAAACCTAGTTTGAGTAAATGTATATTTGACTATGTATTGCTCTATTCATAATCCAGATGAGTGTTTCTAGTCATATCAGTAAGCAAAACACAGAATATCACACTGTGGTTGGCCATTTTTATTTTTGAAACCTCCCTTCTCCCCAGCATTAAGCTACAGTGTGTTCTTACGAATGTAACTATATATGTTGTTTTCCTGTGACAATGATAAACAGAACTTATTACTGCCATCAAAGCAGCAACATAAATCAAAGAATTAGCAGGAAGTCAAAACAAAAAAAATCCCCAACAACAACAAAAAAAGCCCCAAAACATTTTTCAGCTTTTCTTATTACCTTGCTTGTTAGGAATGTTTGCAGTAATACTGGTTTTATGATGCAATTTTATTTATGTGTATTCTATAGGACTAGATATTGCTGTACCTGGGAGTCCTAAAATTGATCTAAATCTAAGATCTAGCAAACTCCTGTGCTGCTTTCCAGGTCCTGTTGACTCAGTTATTGTTTGATCTACCTTGTTCAGGGAAGGATGCTTTTCACATGTTGTCTTCCATCTGAATCATATACATAGAGTGCGAAGTGGGCAGGAGGAAGTCTGAGTTGCAGCTCTAAACCTTTCCTGTTGTTCCCTCCATTGCCTCTGTAGTTGCTCAGAGTTAACGGCTCTACCAATAATCTACCACTAATCACTGTTCTCTCGGGTAAGGAAGAGCCACTCAGTAGTGAAAGCTGTTGATTGCTCTGTCATAGACTATTATGGTTCCTTCACTAAGGCGTCAAGATGCTGCTACAAAATGAATGCTCTAACTCACAGTGAATGTT